GGAACATTTTCAACTTTCTTTGCACTCTTCACGGCAACAGAAATGGTATCAATTTTTAGAGGACAGGGATGCTGGAAATCGAAAGGCACTAAAAGCGTTGACAGAACACATGCCAAGAGTAACTCATAGCTACATGTTACACCAGGTATGCACATACAAGTTTGAAACCTGTGACAATCTATATACAAGCGAGTTAATGTGTGAAATCTTAGTTGATTTTCATCTTCAGTACATGTATATGGTTTTCATAGCAGGTGAATAGTTTCATTGTATTTTGTTCTTTTGACTGAAATTATCATGGGGCAAGCAAATGTTCATTTATCAAGCAGCGAAGGACTGGAACAGCCTCCCGTGTGAATTAAAAGACACACNGTTCACATTCTTAACTCACAGACATCTCCAGACCCAAACATTATGCATTTGTTGCGTAGTTTACTCAAAGCTGCAGCCTGCTTCAGTTTTATATTTGCTGCAATTCATGTTCCAGGAGGAAATAACGCCATAGCTGATGCCTTGTTTCACTTCAATTTTCAGGCCTTTCATTCTCAATCGCCACATGCCAAGAAGTTTCCAATCCTCATTCCTCCTCAGCGCTTAGCCCAGCTTTCCATAGTCATTTAGAAGCTGACTGCCTTTTGTTCATGTACCAAGGTCTTGCTTCTTCAATGTGCCACACCTATTTTTGTGCCCAGGAGAAGTTTGTAAATTTCTGCATCATGACTGGACATCTTAGCCCCTATGATTCTTCATGCACAGCCTCGGAATGGACCCTCTGCCTTTTTGCCCTCGTGATTTTGCTCTGCTTTGCTTTGCCGCTTTGCTTTTGGTTTGCCCCGTCCCACCCACCTCTTGTTTTATGGTGGGCCCTTGTGTCTCGGTAAATATACTTATTCTCCACTGAGAATTCATTGTGACAGGTGCCGGTTTCATTAGAAATCAAGCTGTTCACTTGCACAATACGAGACAATTGAACGATCTTCGTTTGCCCCTCCCTCGCACTAACTAGGGAAGCAATGTTCATTTATCAAGCAGCAAAGGACTGGAACAGCCTCCTGCATGAATTAAAAGACACACATGTTTTATCTATTTTTAAAGCAAAACTGAAAACTTTTTTGAATGATTTTAGCTAATTTTAATCTTTAGAATTTTAACTTTTTAACTAATACAAACTCTTTTTACTCATTTATTTTAGTTTGTAGTAATTTATTAGGTGACTCTTATTTATGTCATTTTTAGGTGATTTTTATTTAGGAGGGCTCCACTGAAAACCGCCTTTGGTGAGTTGGATTCCCTCACTAAATATTATTATTTGTTATTATAGGGGAGGTGACCCATGGGAGGTTGCCATGGTTACCCCTTTTATTTGGATTTTGCCCACACTTGCTCTTTGCCTGCTTTGCTGTCAATTGGCACCTACCCTCCATTTTGAATATTGCTTATTGACAAGTTAACATGGCGCTAAATGCTCTTGCTGCAGTTGGAAAATCAACATCTTCAAAGTGGGGTCCAACTAGTCTTACTATCATCATTCTATTCAGCCGTTCGGGATTAAGTCCGTTTCTCAGCTGGGTTGATACTGGGATTACAAGACTGATCAAAGCTAGTTGCACAAAATCAGGGTGAACATGTTTATACTCTTGGATGAGAGTGCTTGTGAACTGTTCAAAGTTCATAGCTCTGCAACTGCATACTAGATGCTTGAACTGAAGAAATTGGTTTTTACACCTATCAGAGTCAAGAACAGTTTCGACGTGATGACAGAGTTTGTCGAGTTGTCAGATGCCATGGTTTCCTAACTCCCTTACATCATCAAGCCGTCTGCTAGGGTTGAAGATGAAGTCAAAACACTCCAGTAGCTCTAGGTCATCTTCTGGAAACCTGTTGTGTAGGTTGTTGCTAAGCTGGTTCAGGTGTCTCCTTTGTACTGAGTTTAACCTGGTTCTGACGTTGTTATTGTCAGCAATTCCCACTCCCTTGTAGCTATTCTTCCCTGTGCCTGGAACATCACCTAGGTCTGCCACACTCTGTTTACTGTGGGAGATCCATCAATCTTCCCTTGAATTGTCTCAACAGTTGAAGTGACACTGTGTTTAATGACAGAAAAGTTGGCAATATCCTTCTGAAACAGAAGACTAAGTGTTCCAATAATGGATAAAACATCAATCAACAAAGCTGTGGTTAGAAGGAACTGTGCCGAGGCTTTGAACTGCCAAATTCCAACAGCTGTAGCATTAGAACTCTTTTCATTTCTCCAATGACATAACTAGTGAGTCAAAGTACTCAAATTTCATCTTGACACATGCCTCTACAGACAGCCATCTAACTGATGAAGGTTCCACTACTGGTTTAACTTTTCCTGCATGAGTTACTTAATTTGCTTCAGTTTATTATAAAAAAGGAAAGAGGAAGACGTGGATTGTAAACCCACAACCCCACTTGTGTGTATTTGGGCAACCGATTCCTGCAATTGACATCTTGGGTATCCAGCGATACCAGGGGTACCTCTGTCTCCAACGAGGACTTGGGCAGACATCACTCAGGGCTGTCATTAAGGGCCATAACCTGTAACACCTGTTACAGCTGAGTTCACTCGATGTTACGGGTGAAGATGTTGATTGATGGTACGAAAATGCTACTCTTACCTAATTTATTTTTAAACATTTACCTGTTGAAATAAACATAACTGTTTCTTGGTATCTTGCCTCCTTGGTTCTACTATTTATATTTCACCCTGGAGATGAACTTTCAGTTTGCTTAATCGCCGTGAATTACATTCAGACGCCATTTTTAGCAAAACTTATTACGCATGCGCTGCTCCTACCTTTTGAGAAATTCCGCTGACCGATGTAGAGTGTTGTCCAGGCTGATCGACCGTGTTTGGTCCCACATGTGTGTAGAGTCGAGAAAGTTATGTTTTAATATGAATAAGAGAAAAGAACCCACGTCAAAACAGCCTGGGATAGACAAATTTTTTTCTAAATCTCAACGGACCGATGGAAATGAGGAAGGTCACAAAACAGCCAGTCGAGGCGGTCGACAAATACCAGCGATCACAGCTTCGAGTACTGCAAGTACTTCAGCCACACGTGAGCAGCCAGTAGAACTGAGTATTATGCTACAAAGAGTGGAAGAAAAATTTCCCGAGTCTAGAAATGATAAAGCATTTCATTCTTATTACCACTGTAACGGAAAGAGATGTTCAATGTCTGATCCAGCTCATTTGAGCTCCTCTAAAGGTAAGACAGCTCAGTAAGTAGAGATGTTATTATAATTTTTATTTCCGGTTTCACTCCCATTTTATGCATTTGACCATAATAACAAATTACTATAACTGTTAGCAAACATCAAACCATATTCAAAACAAAAAGCAAATGGAGAGTTAACCATGAAATTAACAGAAATACTGTGTCTTGATATTCAGAAACATCTAAATGGATCTACCGTTTCCAGCATCAATGGTTGTTTAAACAAAATGAAAATCAGAACATGTTTGATGGATCGACAGGCATCTGGTGGCTTATGTATGTAGAAAATGTCGGAACGTTTTGTTTCCTGTGCCGTTGTCATGACACCGCAAGTCCAACAAATGGTGACAGTACTTGGAACTCCAAACCATGTGTTCGTAACATTACGCAAGCCATCAAACTTCACGCAAACAGTGCCATGCATGAGGCGGCCATCAATAAAGAGCACCTACAGAGAACATCGCCATTCCACAAGGAAGTGCTAGAAAGGGAAATGGTGAAGAATACAGTGCTCTTAAAGGTATTCACTACACTTTACTGGATAGCCAAAGAAGAGATCGCAAACACNATTCAACCACCAGAAGCTTAATCCATTTGAAGGTTTCGCTCAAAAATAATTCCCACAAAAATTTCCTTCGCAAAAAATTTACTCCATTAACAAAATTATACATACAAACATCAGAAGTAGAATCTTGTTGCTACCATTTGATTAAAATGTATCTTTGTTCAGAAATAAAACAATGAACTGAGAAACAAAATGTTCAGAAATAAAACTAAAGGTTAACAGGAAAGGATCATATGAAGATACTCCACTGAAAAGAGTATCTACAATTCCACATAAGAGCATGATGTAATTGTGATAGAGTGACACTGGTTACTGGATAATTCACTGTGTTTTACTTCTCTACATGTTGAGAAATTTGGAATTACTGCACCTGTTTTTGTGAGTACCAATATTTTTCTATTCTACATTTCTTACAGACTGCAAACTCAAGTTCCAGATTTAAATTCTAGTTTAGAGATGGTAACACTATTAACTTCAAAAAAGGTATTGTCATCATTTGTCTTTTTTTAAGAGCTAAGCCTATGATCAGATAATTCAAGGGATTTTTGCATCAGATTTAGAGTGGTGAGTTCATTGTCGGGGGCGGGGGGGCTGTAAGGATGAGGATGGGTTTATCAAAGTCTTGTGGTATGTTCTGGTCTGTGGTCAAGTGGGCCAGGATGTGAACTCAAGATCCTCTGTTGGGCAAAGGGGCTAAAAGACCATGGTACATTTAGATTTGAGAGACCCTGTTTTATCACATTTCTAAGCATAGACTTAGAAGAAATGCGTATCAGAGTATTTTGATAAATGTCCACATGTTAGGAAATGTGGTAGAGCACTGTCTTGTCTTGATTGTTTGATTTCTCTTTATAGTTACTAATGCTTAGAAGGAAGCAACAAATTAATATTGTAAAAATCTAGATGCTGATAGGTGACTTGCGTGATAGCATCATTTGACTACAGATACTAGAATTGTCCACTTTTCCTTTTTCTGATGTGTACATGTACTAGTGCAATTGTTATTTAAACCCCAATGTGTTTAAAATTTACATAATGAAGGAGAAAGTAAATGAATCCTGGTGAACTTGGTAGTCAAATGATGACATTTTTGATCATGCAAGTAAGCTTTTAAGATCACATAATTATTATGCAAACATCATCATGGTTATGATTTTGTTTTTCAAGCTTGTTGAATTATTAATGAGTTTGAGCAGAAGTTTGTCATCTCAGTTAAGGTCATTCCACTAAAATAGAACCTGCACTGAGATTTTTGTCAAACTTTGCCTAATGACTGTTTATATTGTAGGAACTTAAATTTTGAAATAAAAATGAGGGGTCCCCATGTTCGTTTAGGAGCAACAGCACCTTGTTTATACCATATAAATCCTTACAATAGCACCATGATTATAGTCACGATTGCTTGCTAACTTCACGTTTCTGACGATTGTTTCATGCTCAACACTGAGAATTGGCCCATATTTATTTTACATAGAGAAATTTATGGCTCAATTCAACACAACAGAAAAAAATGATAGGTCACTGTACTCGTTTTCGAGGAAATGACGATTTACCTCTATGGCGAGGTCCAGTCACAAAGAAAAAGCCGCCATTTTTTAATGCACGCGAACTAGTCACGCGTGAAATTATGCGCAGTAGGGATGTGCAATGCAATACTGGGGAATGACCTTAAGGTGAGAAGCTTCTAGCTTGAGAAGCAGTAATAACAGAAAACAACATACACTCAAACAGAGATCATGTCTCTGTAGTTTTATGCAGTAAACTAATTTATGTCTTGGTTTCTGTTGTTAGGATAGTTCTGAGCCACTTCAGAGCAGATTTTTGTTGTCTGATCAGGTCTATTGCACTGCAGAAGTACCGCCAACAGAAACGGTCATGCTGTGGCTTGGGGTAAACAAAATATACCGCGTACTATCTTAAACTTGTACCAGGGTTCGTACGGGTCCTGGAAAACCTGGAAAGTCCTGGAATTTTAGGGTGGCATTTTCCAGGACTGGAAAGTCCTGGAAAAGGGCTACTGGTCCTGGAAAGTACTGGAAATCTGTTAAATTTAAGCAAAAAATATGAAATGTATGGCACACAGCAAGGAGAATTAAAATTGGGATCTTGAGAGTGAAAGGGTTAATGTAAATTTTAGAGTCGTGGAAAAATCAATCTGAGTCCTGGAAAAGTCCTGGAAAAGTCCTGGAAATTTGTTTCTGAAAAAGGGTATGAACCCTGTTGTGCGTCATGAATATGAAGAAGCTAATTAAAGTCGAACCTCTGGTTTCAACCACCTCTTGTAGGCCACTGCCTCTTCCTGAGTGGCCAGTTTTCCAAAATACCAAAAGTTTTGAAGTTAAATCACTATTTTTGGAACCTCTTGTAAGCGACCATGACCACTTTCAGAGCTTAAAGTTTAAAATTTTCTTTTGTTTTAACCCTCCGTAAGTAGCCACTTGACAGATAATAGAGTGCAAATTGGATAAAAAGGTGTCGTAACATTAGTGCATTCCTTGATGGTAGAAGGGACGGTATTGAAATCGCAAAATTTTGTGAGCTGTATGAATTTTTGAATGATTAAAGTAGTGATTAAAATCTAAAGATGAGAAACAGACGAGAGAATTGAGAAGAATTTGAACAGTGTGGTTTGCTACGATTTATATGATGGTGTGAATAAACATGGATACGGCGAAATCATTTATACAAATAGTTGATGGAAAAAAGGGCTGGGAGTTCTGCAGTCACTAATATCTTCTTGGAATGGGAAGAAAGAGGAAAAGAAAAAAATCATTACAGTGTAGGGTATTTTTATTTGGTCACCCAACCAAGTACTTTCCCAGAGGTTTTATTAAGGGTGGGGCACCAGGCAAATTGATCGGCTGTAAGGACGATTTTGTTTGCCTGGTTTGACCATCTAAAGGGACGTTTTTCTTAGAAGCAGTTCACTTCAAAAAGTTTTGCCTGCCTGTGAACCCCAGTTGCAAGGCTATTCATGTCGGCTGATGGTGCCGCCACTTGCACCAATGTATCAAAGAACATAAAGGGTCAGCAATTGGATGTCACGTGACGGAACAACACGGAAATGAGCCAGAGGACATCACAAAGGATTTTAGGATTCTTAAGAAGTGCCAACACAAGCTTGACTGACTTAGTTTTCAATTTGAAATGATTTTTATTAGAAACTTGAAGCCAAAACTCAACAAACAATGTGACTTGCTCTGCACAAAAGTATTTGTTTAGTTCTTTGGTAATAATAATTATAATAATCAACTTTATGGTTTCAACACTTTTAAGTTCTCTTCATCCTCCTCAGCTTACAATAATTATCGTAATCAATATTTTTGTTACAACTTCGCGTACCATGCACATTGGCCTTTTTTAACTTTTATCACCTACTGTTTCCATACACATATTTTAGCGGTTTTAACTATATATTTATGCATGTAATTTTTATTCTTCTATCGAACTTTAAAATGATGGTTGATTGGGCGAAACATTGTTCTTTTATAGCGTCAGTTTTTATCAGGCAATCAATTTCAAAGAATTTATTGTGCAAACACTATCTTGTTCTTCTATTTTTACATCCGACATCCAACTTTCTTTCATTTATCTTCAGCATTGAAAAAAAACAAGCCCATCATCTGTCAATGTTTGAGAAAATGAAAGTATCATGTTGCATATCTTTGCAAGAAAAACAAAAGTATCAAGTTACAGACTTTGGCATGAATTGCGTGAAAAGTTAAATTGTCACATTTTTTACTTCAATGCGTATTGAATTTAAAATAGATAGATATCAGGGCAAACACCACCTGACAGTAAAGTTGAAAGCTGTCTTGACTAACAAATATTGCAAGTCATTTTTGTGCCTGGAATAAAAATATGTTACACATACGTGTGCATCCGCTGCTAAGATTATGACTTAATCAAGCTTTCTGTCCTGTCCATTCATATTTGACTCAAGCAGACTACCACAGTCAATGCAAAAAGGGAGTGGGCAGGGGTTGGCACTTGTATGACTACTTCATGCTACTGCTGTACTTTACACTATGTACTATCTGAGATTGTGTCTGTTTAAAAAGTAGAATTGACACCATTTTCTTTTTGATTTATTATTCATACAGTGCATGTTTGTGGAAATCTTTTTGGGGGACTAAGGTCTGGTTCAAGTGTTGAACTTTGCAGGTGCCAAACCTAATACCCATTTGAGTTGACTCAAATTATTAAGTTTGATAGTTGATTCAAACATCGTCTAGTGTGCTGGACTTAATTTGTAACTCAAGACTTAATTTTTTAGGCAAATTATAATTTATATTATGGAACTTTATTGTATGGATTAGACTCCGCTGAATTGAATTGTAATTTTCTCATTCTATTTGACTGCCATAGATGAAAAGAAAGCAAGGTCGACCCATATACAAATGTGTTGTTCATGACTGAATCAGATGTCGAACTTTACATGTACCTTATAGCAACAGTAGGTTTGGCACATGTAAAGGTCAATGTTTGAACCAGGCCTTCATAACATGATCTGACAGGTTCTCATAGAACAAGCCATGTCATGGACATTGTTACTGATGAGGTGCCATTATTCATTCTTTTCATGACTTCTGTTCTATCAGGCAAATGTCATGTTGGAGTACAGCATTAAAGAGGCAGAAGCTCTGTTATCAAAAAATCTGAATACAGCCCAGAAAAACTTAAAAGAAATTGAGGAAGATTTGGGCTTCTTGAGAGATCAGTACACTACAACTGAAGTCAGTATCCTTCAAAATCATTTTGAAAGTACTTGTAATTAATGCTTCTATTTATAAGTAAATACATAAGGTAGAGAAATAGAAAAGTATTTGTTAAAAACAGGGGTTTGCTAATCTTTGCACACGTGAGTAAAGAATAGTATGGCATGTTACCCTTAACGGAACAACAACCTCGAAGAGAGAGGATTTAAAACTGTCAATAGGTGATTTGCATGATGGCATCATTTCACTATAACTACCACTCGAGAATCTTTAGCTTTTTCTGTTTTTTTTTGTGCTGATTAGGGCAATTGTTATTTAAACCCCACAGGCAACAGGGGCCTCAAAATTTAAACAATAAGGAAAAAACTAAGGGAATTCTGGTAGATGTAGTCGAATGACGATATTGTGCAAATCTGCTTTTACGGCCATCCATCTACAATCATAGACAGAAGTCCTTGGGACACTTATGTAAGATTAACGAATCATCTGTGTTTTAGAACTGAATTTTGAAGAAAACGCTGCTATATCCTTTAAAAACGCGTTGCTGTCCCCCTTCCCCACCCAACACAATGTCGAAAATCAGGTGAAATTGCAGGTGCTAGTTTTCAACATTGTATGGGGGGCTGGGGGGCAAGGTTAGCCAGGTGCAGTTGTATTTGTGTCTGGCGTGTGCAAAAAAGCGCCAAATTTGTCCCAAGACTTTTGTCCATGATTGTACTTGTACCATCAATGACTATTTATATGACACAACCACTCCCTCTGTCAATAGCTGTTATTGAAGTTAACAGCGGTTTGACATACAAACGAGGAGAAAGGGTCAATTTTGCTTTGTGTTGACCCGTTCGACTCATTTGTATGCCTTTTTAAAGAAAGGAATATTTGACCGCAGGCTCAACTGCAATAAGAGCTATTTTGATTCATGAGAATGACAAAAAAAATGACAGTGACACAATATAAAGACATAAGAGTAAGAGTTGCTATGACTTGGTGTAGTGGAAAGCATGATGGCCTAGAATGGTTAACGCGGTACAAGGCTTGAAAAAAGTAGATTTTCCTGCTGGGCAAGTGACTTTTCTTTGTCACTTGCCCAATGGGCAAGGGCCCAGGCAAGTTGTCTGCCAACTAAATTAAAAGAAAGGGCAAGTAATATTTGAGAGCTGCTTGTCCAAAGTGCAAGCTATAATTCAAATTTTTTCAAGCCCTGCAGTAGACTTTAGATTGGGCGGTCTGGGTTAGGGCCCTGGTTTTGACATTGTGTTGTGTTCTTGGGCAATACACTTTGCTCTCACGGTGCTTGTCTCCACCCAGGTGAATAAATGGGTAACAGCAAATTTAATGCTGGGGGTAACCCTGTGACGGACTAGCATCCCATTCAGAGGGGATTAGAAATATTCCTAGTTGCTTAATGTGTCAGAAAATGGTACAAGCTCTGGTGAAATGTATCACTTGGCCCATCCCTGACTTACCCCTTTACCTCTATGATTTAGTCAGAAAAATTTTTGAATTTTGTTTCTCTTAAGTTATCACCACTGTGAAATCAATACATTGAAAATTTGAACAAGTACCACATCACTTTTTTGAATATAGTAATGTTGATTGTTATTGAGGGGAAATGAACTAGTCTCCTACATAGTCATTATTTCCACCGATAGGATTGTTATGAGTTGGCTGTAAATGAGACAAAGGTAAAAGAGTTGTAATTATAACATCTTCCTTAACCTACCACCTGTAGATATGGCTAGAGTTTACAACTGGGAAGTCAAGAAGAGACAAGTACAGCAGAAGTCTCCTTCAGAATAATAGAAAGAGCATTTAGTTCATTATTATTATTATTATTATTATTATTATTATTATTATTATTATCATTGTTATTATTATTATTATTATGATCATCGTTATTGATATTTTGGTGTATTTAATTTTACTTTTTTTTACAATAAATTTGTTTGTTCATGTAATATTTTTATTTTCCAATAATCTTTTTTGTGTAACACAAAGTTCAAGAGAAGAAACCAGGTGACTGTCTGCAAAGTGTATTGAGCTGACGTTGTGAGTTAGCAAAAGCTTTTCTGATAGCCATGCAATTTCATATTTTATCACTTTTTCACCAACAGAGACAGTTTATGTCACTTTCCAGATGGTGGCAAATGGTTTGTGCATGACAAGTGACAAGGGCAAAAATTAGTGGGTTGTAACCAGGAAGGGCGAACAAACAAAACTTGCCAATCCCTAAGGCAACAACAGCTTGAACCTTGTATAAGCACGTGATCATCGCATACATTTGAGAGCACGGAAACACAAAATATCCAAACAGTTGTTTGAGGGTAATGAACAACCTCAACCCTAAATTACAAAAGTTATGCAGACACAGACATGGTTCAACAAGGGAAACTTGTTCGTGAATATGGAAAGTTTTGGTAAATTCCATTCTCCAAAAGGGTACTCTGTGCCCTCAAATCAACAGGTGAAAGGAATTTCTTATTAATCAATTCACATGAGAAAATATTACTTGTAAAAGAAAACCTGGTTAGGAAAACTTTCATTTCATTCACACAGTCAGCTAAATGAGCAAGGAAAAGTTGCTATTAGCACAATGATCCTAGGCACATTACTTCTCTTCTTGGATGGATGTTTATCTATCTAAGGTACGTAGCCTTTCACCACCCTGATTGTTTCCCCTTGGCATGGTTTACTTGGAGCCTATCTTATCACTTTGCTCACTGAGGACCCTCAGGCATTTCTTGTTTTCATGGAAGCCATTGTTGCTCCTGATATTTCTGAAAATAAGCGCAGTATCTCGGATGCAAAATCCTTTGTGAGACTGTATAATAAGGCTCCGTCCACACTATGCCAGTGGAATTTGAAAGTGCATCAAAAGTTTTCTGTCCACACCATGCCAGAGGAACGTAAAAATGCAACAATTACCTGCCATTTTGGATTTGTATTTGAAAAAAATTGGGTAGGGAAATCACATGATTATCATGAGGTCATCGTTTTCAAAATGCTTGGATTTCACAATGTTTTCTGTCCACATGAAAATGAAAAGCCGCATTTTCATAGCCTGTGAACAGGCTCCGGCTGGAAGGGTCTGACCTCAGCTGGAAGGGCCGAGAAAGAACTGGCTGAGAGTGAAGTGGCCAAGGGAGAATGAGGTGGGGGCTGATCAACTCTTGAATTGGCATTTCTTGGCCACTTGAATACAGTGGTGGTTTTAATTGAAACTCAAATAAAATTTAATTGTTAACAATGTCCATGATAATTAAATTATAATTTTTTTTTTCTCTTCGCCCCATCCTTGACTAGGCTAGGCTAGTGTTTTCAAATTCCTCCAGTTTGAAGGGCATTTTCAAAAAGCTCGGTTTTTGTGATGAATTAGTGTGGACAGTAGGCCTAACCATAGAAATAAAGCTGTGCTTTCATATTCTTACGGCATAGCCTTGTCCCTGAACATAAGGGTAAAGTATGTTGGTTTACAACTTCTTTTAAGTCTCTTTTGGTAATGTATTGTTGCAGACTGTATGCTCAGGAATTGCGACGTTCATTATTTTAATGACTACATAGAACTTGTTTTGTTCTTCAGATAATCAGGGTTACCATGAGGTATTGTTGCATGCATGCAAAATGTATGAGACGCAACATCTGACAAACAAAAAGTTAACTATCTAGGAAACCAAAAAAGTCTTTGGACACAAAATGTTCATTAAGGGCTTGTTACCTTAAATGTCCTGGAATGTCACTGGTGATTGTGTAGGTGCAGGAAGTATTCATACCTGCCCCACAGAAGGGATTTTTTTCTGAGAGCCCCCCTCAACTGGAAATTCTAATCAAGTGTCATACATTTCTTTAATTTTTTTAGTCTTGCAGAAACCCAACCCCCCAGGAAATTCCAATCCCTTCTGTAACAGCACATTGCAATACAAGGGAAAATTACCAAAAAATGGCTTGGGATGGATCAGTCACTAAATAAGCCAGTCATGAACCAAATCAAACCAAAAATACCTCTTGTTTTCTAAAAGCTTTATTGACAGTTTCTTTCTTGGGTGACATGCCTACAACTGCAGTTACTTTTAACCAACAGCCGACCACTTGACTAACAAACTGCACTTAGTGGATTGAATTAGCACATCCCTTACGTTCATCCTATGTAAACTAATTCACAAGCTCTCACAAAGAGCAATCTGCCCGGAGCTTATCGTTCAAATTCATGTCAGATTTATAGTTAATTGTTATTATTCCAAGGATTGCACCACCTCAATGTGTTGCACCATTGTGTAAAATTTTTCCAAAGGAGGCTGGATAACCTTAGCAAATCTGAACACGCAACTTCAATGAAGTTCATATTATCAAATAATGCCTGATGATTCAGTTATCATAATCTTGACTGCTGAAAAAGTCTGATAACAGACACCATTGAACTACATACTCTAAACATTTTATGGGCTGCAGTAACAATAATTGACTGCCGTTTATCAATATTCTGATTAAAATGGTCGACATTCTCTTTGATATATCCTTTAGGTGTTAAAGAAATTGTAAGTACGATTAATGAAATGTTTATGATCTAAATCTTACATGTGGTCTAACAATAAGCTCTGGAATAAATTTAATTACCTACAAAAATGATAAAAGGATCACTTTACAATGCAAACATTTAAAAAGTGAACATCAGAAAAAACCTGATACGAAACTGTACAGGGATTAATACATTAAACATAAATTATCAATAAACTGCTAAAAATAGCTTTCACATTGTTATTCCACTCATAACTCAACAATGCAACAGTAAATATAAGAAATAAGTACAAAAGCCAGCTTAACCCTTTCGAATCATTCTTAAGTTCAAACTGGTAATTCTCCTAAGAAATTCACCATACATTGCTTATGGCAGGTTATGAGAATATGTTTGTAAATCAAGACCAACATTTCCTAGTTCAAATTTCTTTCAATACTTCACTTATCTTATCTTGATTCTTGTCATTTTGTTTACTTCTGTTGGGAATTTTTCAAGGTTAAGGCAGCTTGGGGTCAATGAGTGCATGCATAGAAAATATTCTATCTACCTTTGATGGAAAAGTAGGAAAACCTTCTTGCCCTGCAAGAAAAGTTTCTTGACCAGCAAGAAACTAAGTTCTGTCTCAATCAACATGCTCTACAAATGCCCTTCATCTTTGCAAAAAAGTCTTAAAATTCCTGCCATATTAAACAGATTACATATCCCCGACTCATGTGATGTACTCTATTCAAGATGGATTCATTTATGGTCTTTGTGTTCTCCTTTTGGTACAGACTTTTAGCCAGATGGGTGTCCAGGCATCCACGGACGGCCACTTTCTAAAGTAATAAAATTTAATAAAATTGTTTTATTTTTCATGTTGCCTGATATATTGTTCATTTGAGGAGGCCCTATAGTACTTTTTAGAGGCCTATTTTTCCAATCCTGGCTAAAAGTCTGTTACGATACTATACACCACCATGAATTGCTTCCCCGCAACAACTGGCATAATTCTAATGCATGTTTTCCAAAACAACCTGGACTACTTTATGAGGAAATATCTGTCAGATTTGACTTTCTCATTACTGATCTTCTAGTAACCAACAATGATTTTCCTGCCCAGTCTGTACTTAAAATCTTAAAGTCTAACATTCTACCCGCATGTAAAACAACAGCATGTCAACATCAAAATGCATGAACTATAACAGTTCAACTGCTATCCTGCACGAATACTTTGCTTTTAACTTCAATCAAACCTCAATAAAACATAAGGAGTATATTATGGCATTTATAAAATGACTGCATAATGCAACTTGCAAACATTGTTTTACAAAAATTAATATTGTCAAATGAATCTGTTGTTTTCTCCTAAATTATTACGATCAAACCGCCATAAATGCCAACTTTCTGGCATTAAAAAAAAATACTATCACTGCCAAATCTATCATTTAGTTATTAACAGTCAAATGCATATACCATTCTTTGAGTCCTCTACATCCACGAAGATATTAAAAGCATCAAGTTACAAACTAGACTACTTACCTTTGAGATTAATTTTCAGGAGCAGAAGACCTTGAAGAACAGCACAAAAATCTGAAACCTGACATTGAGCCATGTTGACATGCTGTGGTCATCAAAAAAACTCTTCCTACTTTGAAGAACTGTTTCAAGGAAACCAATTTTGTACTTGATTTGTACCTTTTCACATATTGAGTAAGTTTGGTCAAGTCATAGATCATACTTTATATGATTGAGAGTTTAAAGGATGACATTACAATATATTTTTGTCGTTCTGTACACCAACTTAAACTCTTGCACTACCAAAATTCTGTAAAATATCTATTTTTCTACTTCACATAGTAAGCCAGAATACCAAACAATTCTATACATACATGTAACTAATCATCTGTATTGTCCAACATATGTTGGGTCAATGTTTCAACACTTGTTTCATCTGAGTACTTATCCAGTAACTTCAAGACTTTTTCCACATCATCTGGGAAAAGTTCACAAAGTTTGTCATATGCTTGGATTCGAAGCTCCTCGTGTGATGAGTCACCACTTTCTCTTGGATTGTCAGTGACATCATCGCACATTCCTCCAATTATTGGTGGTGCTCTTGATCGGAAATAACCATTCCTCTGACCTTGATAGGGAGTGCGTCTGTAACCTGGAGCATACCCTGGTGGTGCAGGGCTATAATGCTGATACTGCTGATGTGTGGCAGCATACTGATGGTGCTGCTGGTGAAATGGAGGAAAGTTCCAATGATTCATTGGCAGACTGGTTGGTGGATGGCTGCTGACTGGTGGATTGGACGAAAATTGTGGTGGATATGGGTATGACTGCCTGCCAAACATCTGCTTTTGTAACATCCATTCACTGCTGACTACACCACTGTCATTTGCAAAACTAGGCAATGGCATTGAACCACCACGAACCATAATTTCTGGGGGCCCTGATGGGGATGAATATGGTGGTGGTGGATGGCAAACGTGTGGAACACTACCACGTCTCACTACTGGACTGATGGCACCAGGAGGAGGACCACAGCAAGCCTGTTCTTGCACACTGGGAACACTTGGCACACTGTGTGTGCGCTGGAAACGGTCCTGCATTATCTGGACCTCAGGAGGCAGTCCCTTAGGACCTGGTAGGGGGTCAGATCGCCTCTGGCCCATTCCTATTCCCTGGCCTGAGCGTAGAGTAGGTGGAAACACTCTTGCCATCTCAGCAGGAAATTCACTATGTGGTGGAAGTGGAAGTGGTTTTTGACAGAAGTCTGTTGGTACTGAAGGAAGTGGTCTTGTGTTTTGTGGCACTTCAGGGGGACAAGGAGGCAATGGTCGGTTTGGTCTTGAAACCTGACCATAAGGAACTTCTGGGGGCAAATGCTCGGTGCTTGGCTGATATGAGTCCAGTTCCTTCCCTGGATTTCTGTCAGGATGAAGAAATCTGCATCGCTTCCCATAAGTACAGTTCCGCAGGTACGGGCATAATTTGCCCGACCCTTTTTTTAGGAACTCGTCCAAGGTTGGGCCATGTCGACCGAGAGGGTCATCTGGAGGCATAAATTTGTCATCAACAAATGTATACATCAACAGCCGCTGCTCAATGACCTTCTTCCAATCGTGGCTTTCACCCATCAAATCACGGAAGTTATCATTTGAAACAACCACACCGTCATTATCAGCAGCATGCTTTATAATGTATCTGTCATCGTAACATTTTATAATTCTACCATTTGGTGTTGTTCGACTTGGGGTCCAAACCAGAAGCCTGTCCTGCTCAAGCCTTTTTAAAACTTCTTGGTTAACAATAGGTGAGTCAGGCCGTGAAGACTTTTCCCGCCACTTTGGGACAAACACTTTGATGTCACGGTGATTTCTTTTGAGAAACCAATCCACCACAATACCTATTCCCCTGCATGAGAACACTCTCTGGGTACCATGACTATAAAAAAATGGAAAACACATAAAATGAGAATTAAGTTTGGCACTTTTTGAAATCCAAATATTGAACCATAGAAAGGTATTCTTTTTTCTTCTTTTTTGTATTTTTGTTTTTTGCCATAAAAAGCAATACTATACAGGGTTGCTGAGGACATTTTAAGTAGACCACTTTTTTTATTAGTGTTGAAGTGGTTGGTTGATTTTGCCATCACTTTCTTATAAATGAGAGAAATACCCTTGCAGGGCTGTGTTTAAAACAGGAAATGGCAAAATGATGAAATGGCACTGCAGTTAGCCTAAATAACGCTCCAGTCAGCTGAAAAAGCACTTGGGTTAGCCTGAATATCACTGACTTGACCAGTGATCGCTCTCAATTAAATATACTGTAAGGGTTACCCCTGACAGACACCTGTATCCCACATTGACTCTTACCAGTACTACTACCATTTTGTCATTTTGCCATTTATTTTTTTTATTCTGCTTATCATAAAATGCTGCTTACATTTAGGCACCTTCCAACCCAGGTATAAGGAACTGTTTTTTACTGCTTCACTGGATATCACACATACACACAACTTATGGTCATTCCATCAGCAGAGATATCACTGTTTTGATATAGATCAAACTGTATCCCATGTAATGATGCAAATTTCTGGAGCCAATTAAATCCATTAACCCAGAATTGGTCTACATTTTCACAATAGTAGGAACATTAAAGTCTTACTACACAGATTGATCAAAACCATCAAATGTACAATTCATCTTTAATTTAGCAACTGACCTCTTTCACAAACAACAAGCTTTCAACTTTCTCAAAATCTTTTGCTTACTTTTGAAAAATAATTCTCAGTCAAGCAGAGCTTGTAGGAAATCATGCAAATGTTGTGTGTCATCAAGAGATAATGCATGCTCTTGTGCACATGCTAATGATGCGAGAAATTAAAAGGGTGTGCAGGGCGATTCAATGGCATCAAGTTAACTGCCATCCTTGATACATTATTTCTTGCCACAGTCATCCATCATTTTAAGGTAGAAGTATTAGTTACGCAGAAATTTGATATTGCAGCTACATGATGTCCAGCATGGTTTCTAAATACTAATCAACAGATGTAAAATTTTGAGCAGTAAACTTGACACCTTGGTAAACTGATATCTTTAAATTTTGGTACTTTCCAGCTGCAGGAATTATCCCGTAATCATCCTCTTAAAATGCAGAACAGCTGATCAGGAGGAAAATATTTGAGGTACTAAGGTATTTTAAATGCATCTGGACAAAGGCCAAAAACTACATTTCATTTTGGTACATAGTAGAACATTGCTTTGAGGCTATCCTTAAATCACCTGATTTTGACTCAAATGTCAAGTTTGTAACTTTTATGTTTCCAAACCTTCTTAAACAACACTTCCAAATTCCAATCCCTATGGAACCCTTTATTGTAAATCAGTCCTATGATATGGTCATTTGAAAACCAAATGAGAAATATAATTTGCCACAGAATCACAATGCTAACAAAAACAGTATGCAGAATTTGAAAATAGCTGTACCTGAACGTATTTGATTTTCTGACACGGGATTCTTCTGCAGATTTTGTGAATATTGTCTAGCGATCTTGTGGTGGGCACTACAGAATGTTATAAATTTGATTTGAACAACCTTGTTTAATGCCGCCAATCCAGTTATTACAGCCAGGTTATTATGGAGACCTAATGTGTATTTTACCTGATCATTATCTTTTATCATGATTGTGCACAACAATGGATATTTTTAAATGTGGAAGTTTATGCCTTAAACCTACTGACTTTCATAGCAGTGCCAAGTTTCAAAGTTCGGAGTTTCTAAAATATGCGCGATGTAAAACTTATGATGACTAAAACATTCTGGATATTTTTATTTTGGATATTATCCAACACGTATCACTTCTATGTTCTATTTCTGATAATTAATCCTTTTCCTCCGGAAAGTATTCAGCTCAACAGATGATGATTCAGAACCTCTTGACAGTCCAATTCAGGATAAAGGAAGATAATTTCGTTGCAACAAAAAAACAAACGTGAACAAATTGAAGAATTTTTTGGGGCATGACTTCTACATGTATGTGACAGTTACAAAGTTCACGTTGTGATAACAAATCAAAGTTGAATAAAAGCTGGTCGAAAGCACTTGGTGAATAGAGGTCTTAAAGACTGGTTTAAAAGATAAACAAGCACCAATTGAAATATGTGCGAGGGCAAAATGAACAATTTAAATTTCACAACCTCTCACACACAGGCACGTGTGAATTCAACACTATTGCAAGCATTCTTCCGCTCTAAACCACGTACATTTCCACGAACCACTCACTAATTGATTTAAAGCGATAAAGCTTCGAGATATTAACGGCCCAAGTCAAACGAAATATTGTTCGTTCAGTCGGTTGGTAAATACTATATTACAATTTCCACGCGACTATTCGAAAGTGATTAGTTCGCTGACGATCCGCTGCAAATTTGCGCGGAATTTCACTCACGCACTCCACACGATCCGTAAGCTTATATTTGTGCAAACAGAACTGTAGTGCTCGATTGTTTTGCTGGTAGCGATTGTGCCATAGATAATTCTGACGTTTACAACAACAAAAAAAATTCTTCCACCTAACACCGTACGGAGTAAAGAATACACCATAACCCATGCGAAACGACCGCAATTCCAAGGTCGAAGATTGTATAAAATGTTACATACCTCATCGCGACATTGCTCCCATCAATAACGATCGGTCTCAGACAACTCGGATCTTCCAGCGCTGGATGAGGTTTCTCGTACGAGAAAGTAGACGATCCCTCTTCCAACTGCTTTACTGAAGACTGCGCTTTCACTAGTTCTGATAAAAGCGAGTTCGTGTCGGCTAAAGGACCAAGCTTGCTGAGCCCCGTTGCAATCGTGTCCTCGTGATAACCGAGTTTCTTAGCGAAGTATCTCAACGACTCCCCACTTGCTGCAACATCGCAAGTATTTTCAGAATCGCGGACTTTTTCCTTCTCCTCGATCTCATCAGGCTTTTTAACCACAGTTCGATTGACGACCATTTCGTTTGCCTTCCTTTGTCCCTCTTTTTCGCAGCTAGTAGCTACATCAGCACATTCCTGGCTTTGAGAATCGAATTCTTTGCTGTCGGCACTAGAATCGTTCGAGATTTCGGTCCGCGAAATCAACCCCGAATCAACCTGATTGGGCTTCTTTAGCACAGTCGTTTCAACGCTGCTCGGCGCTTGTTGAGTTATGTGATCTCGGTTACACTCTTCTTTCTTTATGTCGACCACAGATGGAGCTTGTTTTGTCAAAGCGCTGTCAATTTGAGACGATGTATTGTTGTTTTCGTTCCAAACAATCTCTGCTTCTTCGGGCGAACAAAGTGTCCCTGAACAAAATGCTATGATGTAGTCCTGTAGAAAAAAAATAAAAAGCGAAGTTAGCGCAACAGTTTAAAGTACAAAAAAGTACAAAACTGCCAAAAGTGAGCAGTATTTTGCAGAGCCTCTATCCCCGAACCTTGGCACGGCGAATGTCATCTTCGTTGCCTTCGACTTTCACCCAGCAACGTTCTTTGTCTTGGGTTTCTTCTCTCTTAAGTTGAACGTCGAATAAAAAATTAACTTTCTTCACTATAAACGCGAATTTCTGATCAACTTGCTCTTTTAATAGAACAAATTCTAGAAAATTCTTGAGAACCATTTTCCCTGATCAATCCGACCACGCGTTCATGTTTTTCTGCATTCGGTCGATTGACAATGAGGGCGGGATCAAGATTTTTGAGACACCGGAAACGCTGACACTTGGCAATGACGTCATTAAGTTTGAACTACTTCCTTTGCAAATAGTACTGTAACTAGAACAATCGAAAGATACTTAGATTTTCACGCGCAAGTTGTTCTTGTTTGAAAACATTTACTTTGCATCTCCGGACAACACGGTTTTAACTCAGAATTGATAATTTATGTCGTCCGCGTCTCCAGGGAAATAGCCAACCGGAAAAGGGGGTTACCCCTGCTACAAAAATGCCTTGCGTTCCTTTGTCCAAATTTGGGGTCACATTTTTGTATCTCCGCTGAAATCACGTCTAAAAAAAATTATGTTTGACGGGAATTGAGTGTCGACCAACTTCAGAATTTCCTCCAGTGCGTGTTATTGTCCTCGAGCTAGAAATAAACATCAAAATTGAAAATTAATTTTCTGTTTGTTTGTGATTTTGATAATTAAACGACTAAACATCTCAAGAAGGCATTGCGTTGCCTTACCACCTGTGGAGTTATTTAGATCTATTTAGTGTGGCTTACACGAGCCTCTTTTGAACATGCTTGAAATATCTTTCGTTTCACAACCGGTTCATGGAAAATGTTTGCGGTAAATTGCAAGAAACAGACTTAATTTCCTTTTTTTTTCTGTTATTGTTTAGTCCAATATCGCCCATGACAACACTTACACCCTTTGAAAATCTTTTCACAATGGAACAAAATTTAAACGGTTGTGGTTTTGTGCAGCTGTGTCTTCGTGCCTCCGGGGCAAAATTCTTGTTTTTAAAAAAAATGTTTTGTTTTATATTCTAATCATGTCGCTAAATTGCATCCAGCACATTATGCTGTATTTATAAACATTTTGTTTTTTTCGGCAAGATTAGCAGCAGTGTTTATATTGTTCTCGATATGTAGAGACAGTCAGTTACACTATCCCACTTGAAAAATGTTCAAGCTCATAGTTGAATCGAGAAAAATTGTTAATTTGTTCTTGACCCGGTTTAGTTCCAGACAGCGTCTCTTTCCTTCATGACACCCAAAACTTATTTTTCAACAGCATGTATAAACACAGGCAAAACCACCGCACGGTTTCAGAGGCCACAGCGCTTTAGGCAAAAGAAAGTTCTGCTACCACCGGAAAGGTTGTTCTAAATTTGGCCTAACGCCTTAATTACGGGAACAATTTCTAACAATTCTTGCTCAGCGGGTGTTCAGACATGAGACATTTTGCTGAGCTCGTGTCTTTCTGCTTCTAGAGTTTCTTCAGTATAACTATGGATATATCTTGTATTGTGGTTTTTGTCATCTTTCAGGGTTAGCAAGCTAAGCCGTCCCAAGGAAAACAAATGCGAGGATTGAAAGACTTAGGAATAAACTACTTTGCGTGCACCTGACATGCTGGCAAACCGTGCCTAGAATCGAAGGACAAGGCAGGATTGCGAAAACGCGCGCAAGGGAAACGCTCGCACGAGAGGAATGACTCGATAAACGCGCGCCAGTTGCGAATTGCGCACAACATTGGTTCCGAGACGGTCACTTTTTTTATTCTCTCAGTTGATGATCCAGGATGAAACACAAACGGAATACTCGTAACTATCTTGAGTAAAGATGCTGAGGCCGTTTATCGTTATTTTGATCAGCTCTGGGGGCGGATTAATTATCAGGGCGTATATAACCAAAACGAAAACGTCAGGCACATTCCTATAAACTCAGTCATTTCATAGCCCCTATCTAGATCGAACTATTATCCGTCTATTATTTTTAGTTGAGATCCGTCAGAGCAAAGCAGCTTAGCTTTAAAGGTATCCTCGAATGATGATGAGCATACTTCGACAAGATGAGTTCCGGTAACAACATATGATGACATTAAAGTTTTAAGTGGATTAAGGTATTAGTCTTGTCGAAAGGTGTGTACCATTGTGTGGTGTGGCTGAAGCGCTGAGTCATTCTGAACGGAGAACTTTCATGACACTTTTGTTACGAGAAAGTTCACGCTCCAGAGCTAAATTCCCCAAGGTTTCAGAATGTTTCCCGCTCAGTTCAGTTCCAGTGTCCGTCCAAAGGAAAATAGCCATTCCCCAGAGAGAAAACGCATCGTCACACAATAAATTTGAAATATTGACTGGTTTTCTCTAATGTATCAACACGCAGCTATCTTCTGTTTTGCTCATTTTGCGTATTGCCCGGCTCAGACAGATGATAAAACTCGTCAACAAAATAGTAACAAAGTAACCATGGCAACGATCGAGATGCTGGTCACTCTGACTAAGAGGAAATTGCTTTTGGCAAACGTATAATTTCAAACGATGAAGCGGACGCAAAAAAGCAAAAGGTTTGGTTGTTCAAAGGAAATAACCTTGCCCTTTCGATAATTTTGTTTATATTTGGCAATTTGCGTCATTGGGCACTTTAGGAAGGCTGCTGATCCGTTAACTAAGTCAAACTGGCTTAATTGCTTTTATTAAAGACACGACTCTCAAACTCTATGATAACTTTTTCCCTTGTTCACAGTTTAGCGTTAGCCTCTCTTTTTTGCACAATTCTTTCAAATATACAACACTTCGTCCTTGAGTTGTTAATGATCTGTCAGATTAGGCGACCAAGCGTTGGCGGAATGCTCGTGCTCGGCCATTCATTCGATAGAGTTGTTAAAATATCGGCGCTAATCACGAAGGGCGGAGTTTTCTTAAAAGCTCAAAGTGCAGTCCTTAAAACGGCCCTCACTATCTATTTCCATCAACCCTGAGGCAAAGTGCAGTGATAACCAAAACTAAAACCCAATCATGGGCAGCACAAACACAACACAACACAAACTGAGCTGGAAAAGAGCTCTTTTTCAATTCAACCTAGCAGCTCCCTGCACATTTGAACTAAAAAGGTGTATTACTATCTACCTAGTAAGGCTACAGTCCACGGAGCTGTATATTGATTGACAAATTCACTGCCTATTTAACCATGCAGTACCAATTAGGTTACCGTGTTATTAGCGTAGGTTTACGCTAAATATAATTGTGATTTCAAACTATGTGACACATGCAGTTTCAGTTGCGCTGACGAAAACATCGGGAAATGTGCAATGCAAAAAGGAAAATGAAACCAGCTTAACCAGGTGTAATAAACCAACAATTTCCCGAGCTGAAACGCGCTTACCGTGTAGCTCGCTTGCCGTTCATCTGTTAGACCATGTGTCTTCTTTTGTTTTGTGAGTGTCTCGTTCGCGCTCGGACGTAACCCACAATTACACCTCAGTAATTTCAATTCCATTACCAGCCATCTAAGTACTAGTGAGCACTTAGACAATTTTGCATTACGGCCCGAATTCACTTCACGACTGGTCGTGGCAAAACAAAAAGCCTTTTAAGCCGAACATACCACAGATTTTCAAGGATAAAAGAATGAAACAACTGCAGAAGTATCTCGGAGAACTGAAAATAGCTGTGAAGTATCTTGATGTGCTTTTTGGCCGAGTTAAATTAATGTGCTCCATTGGTGAATGAGTGGCTGTTTATACTTGTAAAAAGCTTTCCGTCTAAAAACCATGGCATGCTAAGAGCTTTCAACCCTCAGGTTGCCATTAAGAACTTGAAACGAAAGGCTTACATGTGCATAATCACAGTATGACCATCTGGGAAGAAAAATGTTCAGTTCTATTTTAGTAGGTCAGACAATGCCATGTGTAGCCGTATCTCTAATTTGTTCCTTCGTCAAAGTACAAACAGCCACAACACAGGCAGCCCAAGCTGATGATGCAATAATTTCATGCTGGGCCTGTGCGCGGGGTGAATACGATGTGATTCGGAAACGATCACGCTTAAAGAAATATGGTGCAATAACATTGTACATACAGATGGGAAGGAAGCTGAGTAAAAACTTTGAGCACTAATAACAGCCACGAGACGCCTGATAAAAACGTTATCTAGCTATCGGAACCTTTATCTCAGTTCCCGGCAATGATCTTATCAAGCTAGAAGAGGCATAATGAAACAAATTAATAGGGAAGTTTAAAACAGTGAATTGATGACCCTATCTGCGGTATCACACTGTTTGGCTTATGGTATGTTGCCCCGCCATCCGGAAAACAGCGTCCGTTTGTCCACCGTATCTAGTCGATACGGCGCCACTTTTTAAGGAGTAGAAACAAGGCTCAGTATATAAGACTCGGTATTGACCCCATTGTGGTTTTAAACTTGGCCTCCACAATTGATACAGGAACAAAAGAGTAAATACTGGCTCATCACAGTTGATCTTAATCATGTAATTCTCGATATTCGTGTACCATTTGACAGCTTGTTAAGCTGCCAAGGCGCGAAGTCTGACCAAGATCGCACGCGAACCTATCAAGAGCACGCGAGCACTGCGAAGTCCGCTGGTAATTAAAAAATTCCGCTAGTTTCCTTGATTTCCGTCAGCGTGGCATAATGTAAAACCATATTATAATCTGTAAAGTATTTCACAGTGTTCATTGGATTTTCCAAACGCTATCTCGCACGGTAATTTTCAGCTAAATTTATAGCTATTTCTTGCTACAAACAACAGCAACTGCATGACCTTTATAGAAGACGACAGACATCAGGTTCTAAACCGTTGGGAGAAACACCCACTTCTCGTATTACTTCCTGCTGTGCGAAGTTTTTCTGGGCATTTTCTGTTATCTTTCTTCCGTTCCTTAGCTTGTTCTGTTTTCTGTTGAAGAAAGCCTGTAAGTCCATTGGCAATGTGTACCCATGTGAGATCGGAAACTCCGGGTTTAATTTGAAGACGTTTAGCTCAGTCCTGCTCAAACAAATCACTTCCGAAAGAAAAGCCTTTTGCAAGCGTTCAATTTCTCAGTAACCCTGCAGTAACCTATTGTTTGGTTATCATGTTCCAATTTTTTTCTTCACGATCTGCCAACAGACAATTACTAAGAATTTTCGCGATGACTTAAGTTTTAATGATAAGTATTAACAGTAATAAGGATAAATGAGAATTGGTAGAGGCACTCCTACCTAGAGGTTCTTTGTCCTCTGTTTTACCGAAGATCGAATTATGTTGGAATTTAGTTCCTACAAAAGTTCTTAAGAGAGTAGTTTTGTCCGCCATAAATTCGGTGGGGACAAGTCAAGATGAAAAGATGGATAGGTTTTGTTATCATGTACCAAGAGAATATGGTCTGAGAAAACCTATAGGCCGATTAAATCAGTGAAACTGAAGAGTTTGCGGCTAAAGTATGAGGCGTTTATTTAGCGACATTCCCCCAAAGGCATAGGCTGTCTTTGAAGTGGTTAATTGGTGGTTAGCCAGTTTCAGACAGAGCTTGTTTGGCGGCCCGAGTTCGTGATCTCAAAGTCAGGGCCGGACTGCGTT